CCGAGCTCGATACTGCGCCGGCTCGCCCAGCCGCGCGCGCTTGGCCGCGCGCGAGCCCACCGCGCCCGCCCGCGTCGTCTCAGGCTTGCCGGCCTAAGTGGCCCAGAGCTTCTCCCATAACTTCGACTCCTTCAAGAACGTCTCCTTCGAGATCGGGCAGTCGACCTCGTAGCGCGTAAACTCGTCGTTAATGGCCAAGGTATTCTTCTTCTTCCACGTGATGTAGTACACGTCGGCACAGACCACCTCGTTGAACCACATGGCCCTCGGCAGCACTGCGACGCGAACCGCTCGGGGCCTCTGCCTGCCCAGGCAGATCTCGCCCGGGAAGAGCCCGGCGCATTGGGCCCGCTCCGCCGGGGCGCCCGCGCGCCGCATGGCAAACGTCAGTGCTGCGCTCGATGGGTGGCCCACGTGCGCGCTTGACCGCTGGGGTCGAGGACTCGTTGAACTGCTTCATCAGCTCCTGCAGCACGTCGGCGCACTCGATGACGATGTCCTGAAAGACCTCCTCGGCCGCGATCGCATCGCCGACGTCGACGGCCATGCCCTGGCAGGCGATCAGGTAGGCCATCCTCCTCGCAATCGGCCCCGGGTACTTCTGAGCCTGCTGGGCGATTGCCCCGCAGGATCGCGTGGTCAACCGCGCGCGCGCATGTCATGTTCGCGTGATGAGTGAACTTCTCGTTGGTCGACAGTTGTCTCATGGGCTTCTGGCGCGGCATGTCCTGGCCCTGGATATTGTACTTTGCTCCTAACCTGCACTGGTCTGCAATCATATCCCGGCAACTGCGCGTCTTCGCACGCCAGCGCAGCTGCTGCCGCGGGCTTTCCACATGCGCGCGTCGGTATTATGTCTGCTACCTCGCAGACGCCGTCGGAAACATCGCGAGAACAGCCCGCGTCGTTGATATCCTCCCTCGGCGCGCTTCTCAGAGAGCGTCTCGTTCACGCGCTGATAGGATCGCCAACGCTTGCGCAGGGGGGGCGAAGCAGGTATCGTCGGGCTCGTCGCTGTCGATCATGCCCAGGAAGTCGCGGGCCACGGCGGGCTCGGAGAAACCCCGGCCGCCCTCGACCCAGAACAAGATTACCTCGATCTGCGGTAACTTGAGCAGCTCCTGCGACAGGGCCCCCTGCCCCACGAAGACCCCCCAGACCAGCCACCCGCGCGGCCCGCGCAGCGCGCCCTTCGTGTCGGACGCCACCTGCTCGGGCCCAAGTAGGTGTCCGCATCCATCAGGTGGCGCCCCGGGCCCGCGACCCCCGCGGCCAGGGTATCGTCGTCGCCTCGTCGCTGCCGATCCCGTGGAACTCCGCCCGCGTCAATGTAAAAAGCGTCGGGTTCAGGCGCCGACGAGCCCCCGTCGCCGCCTTCGGCACTCTTAACCGATTCTCCATCAGCGCCTCCGTCTGCCGAGTCGCCGTCGCCGCCCTCTCCGTCGGCGGCCCCCCCCCCACCCCCCCCCTCGTTCATGGCGTCGTCGGCGTCGCGCCCAGCTCCACCCAGCCGGTCTACGATGAAATGGCCCTTCTCATCGCGCTCGGACGTCATCCAACCCTTGTCGGGGCGGTCCTTCATCGAGAACGCCCCAGCTCGGTAGTCCCAGATCAAGCCCCACTCTTCCACGCAGGGCCGCGCGATCAGCAGCGGCGCCCAAGCCTCGACGAGGTGGGTTGCGATCTGCGTGTGACGCCGAACGGCCGCGCCGTCCGTGCCAACGCTTGCTTGGCCTTCAGCGTCTTGCCGTCTCCGAATCGGAAGCGTCGGTCTCTCCTGTCGCACCCGACCTCGCGCAGCAACTGCTCGGCGCGAAGTAGCTCCCCCCACTGCGCCCGCGCCTCGTCGCCCATGACGGGCCGCGCGGCACCTCCATCGCCGATGCCTTTGCTCGCGGTGAGCAGGAAGACATCCTCGGTCGACTCGGCGCACTCCCGCGTCTCAACATCCTCCGCTATGCGCGCCTCGTCTTCGGGCGTAGTGAAGCCACCGCGCCTGAGGCGCTTGCACCTCGGGCCACGCTGCTGGGCCGCGCCCGACGCAGTCGACCCCGCTGGCGACGATGGCACACCCTTGCCAAACGCTCCCATCTGAAGCCGGAAAGTTTCGCGTCGTGGTGGGCCACTTCCTGGCCTCGTCGCTCGCGCGGATCCCGCGCGGCTGTCGCGCTGGTGAATTGAATGTTTTCGGGTGCGAGCGAGGGCGACGATCGGGCAGGGCCCTATGGTCTCGGCGATCTCCGCCGCGCGCTTCTACGCGCCCGCGACGCCGAGGAAGGCCTCGTCGCGCGCCACTCGGGCCTCCTCGACCTCCTGCGGAAGCTCCTCCGCGACACCGGCCTCCTCCTCGTGCTCGTCGGAGTCATGCTACTCGTCGTCTTCGTACTCTTCCTCCTCCAGGCGCGAATCTTCGCGGCGCGGGCCTCGCTCCCACTCGTGCTCGGTCGCGTTTTTCGCGTCGCCCTCCAGGCCCTGGCCGACTAGCATCGTCCCCACTCTTTTCACGTCGCGCTTGTCGGGCATAGCTTCGGCCCCGCATGCGTCGAGCAGGGCTTTCTTCGCTTTCGCCCAGCAGAGTCAGCCCACGCATCGACGACTAACCTGGGCGGCGCCCGACGGCGGAACAGCCGCTCAACGCTGGCATGTCTGGGATCTCCATCACGACCTCCTTGCGCTCCCCGAGCTCTCTTTCGCGGCGAAGGCAGCACAGCTTCATCGTCTCCTTCTCTCGGCGAGCGAACTTGCCAAGGAATAGATCTGGACGGGCTGGCAGCTCGGTCTGGTTGTCGTACTTGTAATAATCGTCCAACACCTGGAGCAACGGCCTCAAAGCCTTGGCCGTCTCCAGTAAGTCCAGGCCGATGTCCGCGGCCTCACACTGCAGCGAGCTCATGACCAAGAACGCTCCCTCGCTGACCGCGACGGTGCCGCGCTTCCTGCAGCGCCGCTCGAAGACTTCAAGCTTGCGTCGAAAGATTCGATTGCCGTCGATCCCCAGCAGCTCAGAGCTCGGCGCCGTCTTGGACAAGCCAGCGTCCAAGCCTCGTCCTCCCCCGTCCCATGTGGAAGTCTCCTCTCGGGCCCCTTGGCCTTGCCAGCCGTTCCAATCCGTGCAGTTGACCTCGTCGGCATCCACACTGCTCGGCGGGTGCGGCTGCCCTCTGCGCCGGCGTCGGCGGGAGCGGCGACAGCAAAGGCTGCCGGCGGGCCACGTGGCGGCGGCTTAGCCGGGGGCGGCTTGCGAAGCGCGCCGTGTGGCATGGCGGCGACGGGCGAACCCGAGAATGTGGATCTCAGGCTCCGCTACCAATATCAACCGATGGCAGCACAGGAGGTCTCCTCGGGATGCGTTCGATAAAGCAGATTATCTTGACAATCGTATCGGCTCGATGGATACGCAACCTGTTACCTGACTCAGGGGCTCCAGAACATCAAATGGCATTGGTACAGACACGTGTGAAACAACTGTTTGCAACACATCATGCTATGCTGAAGCTGCTGGGCTGTTCTAGTACACGAGACGACACACACATATTCGATATAACTGGGGATATATTGACACAGTGGGGGCCATGAAACGTTTGAGGAGTGTTGCGGGGACGCACGCGGGCTGCGCCACTGCGACCTTTGGTTGAAACTCCGATGTATGCGGCAACGACCGTATGAGGGGCGTGCCGACATGGGTGGCGGGGACGCATGCGGGCGGCGCCATTGGGACACTCGATAGAGCTCCTATGGTGGCCACGAAACGTGCGAGGGGCGTGCCGAAATGGATTGCGGGGACGCATGCGGGTTGCGCCACTGGGATCTTCGGTGGAGCCCCAACGGGGCCACGAGAAGTGTGAGGGTGTGCCGACATGGGTGGCGGGGACGCATGTGAGCACCGCCACTGGGACCCTCGGTGGGGCTCCCATGGTGCCACGAAAAGTGTGAGGAGTGTGCCGACATGGGTGGCGGGGGCGCATGTGAGCACCGCCACTGGGACCCTCGGTGGAGCTCCCTATGTGGCCACAAATCGTGTGAGGGGTGTGCCGACATGGGTGGCAGGGACGCATGCGGGCTGCGCCACTTGGACCCTCGGTGGAGCTCCTATGGGGGTCACGCACCGCGTGTGGGGTGTACCGAATGGGGGGGGGCCGGGAGGAGGGAGGAAGGGGAGGATGGGAGAAGAGGAAGAGGAACGCGGGGACTGTCTTTTTAAGTGAAGACCCAACAACAAGTTGGTTGGGAAAAGATCCCAAACTTCCACTGCAAAGGCAAACCCGTTCTCAACATTGAAATGGGGCAGGGGGGTTCTGAACACAGCAGCGTTGTCCCTTCTGCCTGGTGGCCGTTGTTGCTACACCAACGGCGGTAAGAGTACCCCTACAGCTTCGGGAGGGGGCCCAAACTAGGAGGGCCCAAAACATCAGGGATAGGGAGACTCTTTGTGTTGCAAACGTGTCGGACGAGACCACCCGTGTGTTTAGTGATATGTCTGAAAACCGCGTTCCTGAGTTAGGCATCGAATTCATTGTGTTATCAGGGTTAGGGGTTGTAATGCGTAATCGACGGCGAGCCTGGGGGAGAAGTGAGAAAAGGCGGCGGACCTTCTCAGAAGGCTCGGAAGCCCCTAAGAAGTTTTCTGGGCCCGGAGACACAGCAATCTTCTCTCAGAAAGCCAGAGGGCTTCTGAGAGGCCCCGCCGCTTCCTGAAAAGGCCTTTTCCTCCTCACTTCCCGCCTTGCCCGCCGCCGACGTATGGGTTGTGTCATGCGCAATTGGAGAAACCAGAAGGCACCGATACCGCCACTCCCTAGACCTCTCCCGGGGTGCTTTCTGACCAGAATTTCGAGGTGAATCCAGCGGCGGCGATGAGGGCCTCCCAGGAAGCCCAAAACGGGGAAAGTGAGCGAAGGGTAGCCAGATGGGCACCTTTGCCTCCTCCGAGTAGTGAACGTTGGCCCCTCGCGGCCCCAGCGAGAGGCGGAGCGCCGCTGAGCGGCCGCGCGGCCGACGGGTCACGCCGCCGCAGGGGAGCCGCCGGCGGGGCGGGGCCGCACGCCGGGTAGCGGGGGCTTCGGCGGGGCAGCGGGCGCCTCGCTCGGGCACGGGGGGGAGCAGCGTCGAGGAGGGTACGTAGTCCTCCTCCTCCTCCTCCTCCTCCTCCTCCTCCTCCTCCGCCTCTTCCTCCTCCTCCTCCAAATCCTCCAAATCCTTCTCCTTCGCCTCCTCCTCCTCCTCCAAATCCTCCTCCTCCTGCTCCTCCTCCTCCTCCTCCTGCTCCTCCTCCTCCTCCTCCTGCTCTTCCTCCTCCTCTCAATCCTCCTCCTCCTCCTCCGCCTTCTCCGCCTCCTCCTCCTCTTCCTGGCTTCTGGTTCCTAGTGGCATGATGTCTCGGTGGGTGTTGCCTCCTCCTCCTCCTCCTCCTCCTCTTCCTCCTCCTCCTCCTCCTCTTCCTCTTCCTCCTCCTCCTCCTCCTCCTGTAACGCTGTAGCATTGCATGTCCCTGGTCGTACAAGCACAACCGTGGACTCTCATTCCTCCAGGGAAAACGAAAAACGTGCCGACAAATATGGACTTAAAGTAGCCAGTAGGCCGGTCCGCTGGTACCAGGAAGCACCCAAGCCACATGCAATACCAGGAAAAAAGTGGTCGCAGTACCAGCGAATGCATACAATACTTCTGCTAGCCATGGGTCCTCATACAACGAATTCGTAGTCGCAACGACGGGCGTGGCTTTCAATGGCAGGTTGGAGTCCGTACCACCGGATCT